GTGGAACATTTGCCCCCTTGAGCTGGTGGTCAGTTGAACTTTGCCCCCTTGTGCTGGTGGCCAGTGGAACTTTGCCCCTTGTGCTGGTGGTCAGTGGAACTTTGCCCCCTTGTGCTGGTGGTCAGTGGCACTTTGCCTCCTTGTGCTGGTGGTCAGTGGAACTTTGCCCCCTTGTGCTGGTGGTCAGTGGAACTTTGCCCCCTTGTGCTGGTGGCCAGTGGAACTTTGCTCCCTTGTGCTGGTGGTCAGTGGAACTTTGCCCCCTTGTGCTTGTGGTCAGTGGAACTTTGCCCCCTTGTGCTGGTGGCCAGTGGAACTTTGCCCCTTGTGCTGGTGGTCAGTGGAACTTTGCCCCTTGTGCTGGTGGTCAGTGGAACTTTGCCCCTTGTGCTTGTGGTCAGTGGAACTTTGCCCCCTGTGCTGGTGGTCAGTGGAACTTTGCCCCCTGTGCTGGTGGCCAGTGGAACTTTGCTCTCTTGTGCTGGTGGTCAGTGGAACTTTGCCCTCTTGTGTTGGTGGTCAGTGGCACTTTGCCCCCTTGTGCTGGTGGTCAGTGGATCTTTGCCCCCTTGTGCTGGTTGTCAATGGAACTTTGCCCCTTGTGCAGGCGGTCAGTGGAACATTGCCCCCTTGAGCTGGTGGTCAGTTGAACTTTGCCCCCTTGTGCTGGTGGCCAGTGGAACTTTGCCCCTTGTGCTGGTGGTCAGTGGAACTTTGCCCCCTTGTGCTGGTGGTCAGTGGCACTTTGCCTCCTTGTGCTGGTGGTCAGTGGAACTTTGCCCCCTGTGCTGGTGGTCAGTGGAACTTTGCCCCCTTGTGCTGGTGGCCAGTGGAACTTTGCTCCCTTGTGCTGGTGGTCAGTGGAACTTTGCCCCCTTGTGCTTGTGGTCAGTGGAACTTTGCCCCCTTGTGCTGGTGGTCAGTGGAAGCTCTGTTATTGTGCTTTTCTTTTAAGACAAAAGATGTTAATATAATGGGTTGTTTTTTCTAACGTAAAACCTCAGTATTCAGGTTTAATTGCAGTTTTGGCACTTTGCAATAAATAAGTGGGTTTTTGGTTACAGTTTGGGCACTCTGTCTCTAAAAGGTTCGCCATTACTGGCCTAGACAGAGTCCTTCAGTATATTGTACATGAGAGATTATGAAGTGCCCTGTACTGGTCAAAAGATATTTTGTCTTACCAGCTCAGCTGGCAACCTCTCAAGGGTATCATATTGAGACCTATGCAGCCCTCAACTGTGACCGTTTTTAGTAGCTTGCTAACCCATGTTTTCCTTGGAGTGTAGAACTTTGGCAGGAACATAGAGTCCATTTTTTGCATATGCTATATATCTTTGTGGTGGAGTTATATCAAGTATTGTCTCTAATTTTACACTACATCACCTCCAATCTTATTCATAATCTTTGCAAATTGCACAGTGAAGGCTACCTTTGGTGTTTCATTTGGCCTAAGGAGTTTGGGGTTATCTTAGCACCCTGGACTCACTGCAGCTCAACGCTGGATTTAGGAGACACAAATCCCTTCTCCATATCAATAATTTCGTTCATCCTGAGTAAAGGTGAAGTAGGCCCCTCTTAGCACAAGTTAATAGGATCTGTTGATGATGTCAGCAATGGGATTGGAGAAAAGTATTATTTATGGATAAAGCACTCCAGCCAGTGCTCGTGTTTCTTCTGTGCAATATAGATGGTCAACTCTACTGTATTGCACCCTATGGAAGACTCTTACATGGAAGGCTTTTGTATGCAGTTTGAAGTGGCTGGGCATCTGTGACATTCAATGGCAAGTATAACAAGTCAAAAGCAAACTGTGCTGAGAGGAATACTGAGGCTGCAATTTGCAAACCCATGAAAATGCCATTTTTTTTTTTTCTGGCAGTCTCCGGCTTCAGTTCATAGTCTGACCCAGAGTAAGTATGCAACAAACAATGTCAGAGAGAAGCTTGAACTCTTGATTTACATACTTCTTCCATGTAATTTAAAGATGGCTTTTATTCTCAAAATCTGATTGTACAATTTCCTTTCCAGTTACCAAAACGGTGTCATGAACGGACCTACCTTAAACATTCAATCTATTCGTATCAAATAAGGCAGGCCATTGTACTATATAGTTGTTGGCAGATTTTAAAAATATTGTTTGATCAGATTGTAACTAGTATGGTAGGCAATGAGGTCAACAATGGCAGCCCTACATATTCCTCTTAGTACAGCTTTTCTTACAAGTGTATGTAATGTCTAACAATGAACTTCTCATATTTGCTCTCTTTGGGTCTGTTAACTATACGATTGAAAACATTTTGTTATATCTTTTGATTAGTGCAAAAAGGAAAAAAAAATGTTGATCATGTGAGAAATTCAGATTTATCATGTGCACGCTTTCTGTGTTATCTAAAACAGCCCTCCCGGTTATTATCTTGGACTACAGATTGATTAGCCTTTATGTCGTGAATATAGGAAAGCGGTAGTGGCTGAGTAATTTAGCAAAACGCAACGAGCAGGGCTGACACCAGGGGCGGACTGACCATTTGGAAACTCAGGCACTGCCAGAGGGCCCGGGGTCAGTAGGGGGCCCCATGAAATGCCCCTGGTACCTTTTTCATAGGCTTTTTTGAGTTTGGGCAAGGACACAGGGACCCCATGATCCCCTGGCTGACACCATTCAGTTCACAAAAATATTGTGTGTCATCAGCCCACAACAGGAACTGAAGCTGAGTGCTGTGGTAGAACAGGTATCTTTCTGTGCTTTCAGGGTCTTTAGCGGCCAGTTCACACTGTGATCTCACAGGAATGCATGCCGCCTTTCCTTGCGATTCCCGTGTGGTGTGACTTTGCAGCTCATTCATTTAAATAGGCTGCAAATTGCATTGGAATGCAGAAAATGTAGTGCATGCACTACTTTTAAAATCACGCCACACCAAATTGCATGGCACTGTAAAACCATGTAATTTGGTGCCAGCACACGCACTGCATTTGTGATCTGTGTCAGGGGTGCCATTAACATCACAAGGGCAGTGCGTTTGAGTATCATTTGAGAAACGTGCACAGAACATGCCTTTCCTGCTCCATGTTCTGGTGTGAACTGGCCCTAAAGGAATAAAATCTGGGAAAATATGCATGTATTGCAGAGATGTATTGCATATTTTATTTTATTTTGCCTTAACATATACTTTAAATATAATAAACATAATTACAATATAGTAAGGGTACAGGTAAACCGACCAGCTAGCTAATAAATGCTGTTCAGTTTTTGTCAAGAGTAGAAAACAAAGAGTCCTATCAGTACAGAACATATCTGCGTAGATTAAACATCAGTCACATGTTCTTTTCAAAATCAGCATATCATGTAATATAGATAGTGTTGCCCTTGCCTCTGGGACGCAGTACTGGGCTCCATGCACTCGGGGCGTTTTAATAACGCTGGTAACATTAGCTGTGTAAAGTCATGTTAAAAATGTATAGTTTTTTAGCATTTTTGCGTTAGCGTTTAGCAGCGTTTTACCACTTTTTTGTGTTTTTTGTGTTTACGTTTCTTAGTGGGTTTTTTGCTTTGTTTTTCAGCGTTAGAGCGTTTTACAACTAAAAAACTCATCTAGAAACCCACTAGTTCTGGGGGTTTTTTTCTAGCCAAAAAATGCCCCTGCCAAAAACCGCTGATTAAAGCCTATGTGTGAATGGACACATAGGATAACATGCTGGGGGGTTTACTGGCTGTAGGAAAAAACATCAAAAGCCAAAAACAGCCGCTGTAAAAACATCCAGTGTGCATGAGGACTTAAAGAGGAACTAAACTGCCAGACTAGATAAACAAAGTTGGGCTTCCAAGAACTTTTTGCCATAATGTACTATAATATTTTCACATTATGGCAGATTACTTAGCAAAGTGCCCCCCCCTCCACTGCTGCACAGACCCCAGGTGGACAAGAAGACAAGGCACCTCCTGCAGAGTGCATGGGCTGCTGTTGGTGGCTGGAATCTAAAGAGGACCTTCACCTAACAATAAAAGTTCCCATAACCACCCCCCATTCCTTTGCTTGTAACATTATTGCAGTGTTTTTTTCCTCAGGAAGAGAGCACCTATTTTGGTGGTACTTGTCTAGGCAAGGATGGCCTCTCCTCCTGTTTCTCCCTTGACTTTTATAGCTGCTGACTTTTTTAATTTTCCCATGCCCGAGCAAAGGTACTCCTTACGCAGGTGGATGGTGACATCAGATCACTCCCCTCCTCTTACTCCTACCCCCTGGGGCCTTCACTACCGCTGCCAGTGTTTAGCTGCAAAGCAACACCTTGGAGTGAATTTAATAAACACAAATAGGCTGAGCACTTCGCAAGTGCAGTTGCCCTCATTTTCCCCAGAGCTTAGTAAATGTGATAAAGCTTCACTTTGTAAGAATACCCAGTCAGGTATAAAGAAAATAAAACATAAACAGCATTTTTGCTTGCACATGATTGGATCATGGAAACCAGTAGAACCTCACCACATTTACTAAGCTCTGGAGAAAATGAGGGCAACTTCACTTACGAAGTGTACAGTCTATTTGCCTTTAATAAATCAACCCCTTTGCTTGTTCACAGTCACATTATTCAGCTATCCACCATTAATTATAGATTTTTTTCGTATGCCTCTAAGCCAGCCTTTTTCAACCAGGGTGACCAGGCACCTTGGGGTGCCTTGAGGTTTCTTCATGTCAAAATATTGCCAAAACTTGTGTACAAGCCATTGGGTGGAACAAGCTTTCCTTTTAGTTACACAAAGCCACGGGTTTTCATTGTGCACCATTACGACCTTCTACCCACCAGTGTCCTGACAACCAATGATGTTATCGGTTGATAAGGAGGATGTCGATTGTCTGCACAGCATCCTTGTTTGACCCTCCCCTGCCCCTTTCCGTCAGTGCTGGGGTCACATTAGCTCAGTGATGGAGAAAAGAAACATTGGAATACTAGTTAGTACCAGTGTGCAAACTTTGCTTTGGAAGAATAAATCACCTCTACCATTGGGTATTCTACATATGTGGATGTTGCTGTGTTATATAAAACTATTAGAATAGAATGGGATGCCTCGGGACTGTCCATAATTTTAAAGAGTGCATCGGGACTGTCCATAATTTTAAAGGGTTCCCCGGGACTGTCCCCCCGGGACTGTCCATGGGTTCCCCGGGATAATTTTAAAGGGTTCCCCGGGACTGTCCATAATTTTAAAGGGTGAATCAGGATTGTCCATAATTGTGAAGAGTGCCTCGGGACTGTCCATAATTTTAAAGGGTGACTCAAGACTGTCCATAATTTTAAAGGGTGAATCGGGACTGTCTAAAATTATGGATAGTCTTGAGACACCCTTTAAAATTATGGACAGTCCCGATTCACCCTTTAAAATTATGGACAGTCTTGAGTCACCCTTTAAAATTATGGACAGTCCCAAGGCACCTTTAAAATTATGCACAGTCCCGATGCACTCCTTTGAAATTATGGACAGTCCCGGGGCACCCTTTAAAATTATGGACAGTCCCGAGTCACCCTTTAAAATTATGGATAGTCTTGATGCACTCTTTAAAATTATGGACAGTCCCGATTTTGCCCTTTAAAATTATGGACAGTCTTGAGTCACCCTTTAAAATTATGGATAGTCTTGAGACACCCTTTAAAATTATGAAGGGTGACTCAAGACTGTCCATAATTTTAAAGGGCAAATCGGGACTGTCCATAATTTTAAAGGGTGTCTCAAGACTATCCATAATTTTAAAGGTGACTCAAGACTGTCCATAATTTTAAAGGGTGCATCGGGACTGTCCGTAATTTTAAAGGGTGCCTCAAGACTGTCCATAATTTTTAAAGTGTGCCTCAAGACTGTCCATAATTTTAAAGGGTTCCTTGACTGAAAAAAGGTTGAGAAACACTGCTCTAAGCATCCAGGCTGAACCGCAGATTGGGAAACCCTGATCTTCAGTATAATTGTTACTATGTATATGTTGCCCATTGGCCTTTGCAGTAAATAAATGTGCTTTGTCAAATTTTAGAGAGAACCGTTTTTCAAATCTACTAGCTAAACATAATCCATTGCCAGTTTAAGATTTCTGCCTGTACAATAATTCACCATGCGATGATTTCATCTAATTAATGCTGAATTCTAATGTACACATTTCTCTGCACAGGGGATCCGCCATTGCAAAAATAGTGGGCGAAAATGCTGCCAAGCTGCCTCAGTTTGATAATGTGGTGAACATGTGGGTGTTTGAAGAATTAATAGGAGGGAAAAAAAACTGACAGAGATCATCAACACAGATCATGAAAATGTCAAATACTTGCCTGGACACAAGCTGCCTGCCAATGTGGTACGTGGGCCGTTTTCTTCTGTATTGTAGGTATCCTCAGGAACTGGGTTCATGTGACTCAGCCTGCCATCTAAATATGAAGGATAACCTTGCACTGTTATGATCCTACTGAATCAAACAATCCAAATATTCTCCCATGGGACTTTACTGCGCTTTACTAGAGGTCCCTTCCCTGTCATTAAATTTTCTCTTGATGTCAGGAAAACAATTCAGAAGTGATTCATGTTGATGACAGAAGAACAAGGCAGCAGACAGAAATGACACTAACACCCGATTTTTAAATCGTGCGACTTACAGTGAAGTCGCACGATTTCAAAGTCGGGTGACATGCTGATTTGAGGTGCGATTTTCAAGACATGTGACACAGATGTCTATGCAAATTGCACCAAAAGTAGTGCATGCACTACTTTAGAAATCGGCGCAGTGCCAAGTCGCAACCCGCACCAATATGACCGTTCTAAATAGCGGACAATACGTGCAACTTGGCATACGATTTGCAAGTCACACCCGATGTGACCGAGGTGTGTTAGTGCTTCTAATTGCGACAAATACACACTATAGAGGGATATGCTTTTTAATTTCATGTCTAAGGTTTACAACCACTTTAAAAGAGTACCAAACCCAGGGTGGCAAGCCATAGATTATGCAGTTTTCTTTCCTTCAATCACGGGTTGAAGGAAAGAAAATTGCTTGACTCCTCAATCCCTCCCGCGGCGCTATTGTGTTCTGCTAGAAGGGGAGTGTGGGGAGTCTTTACCACCAGCAGAATACAAGAATCACTGCTGTCGGCTATATCCACCGGCAGTGATTGGGTGAAAAACCCTACAGGCTGGTTATACAGAAGTCGTCGATCGATCACTGAATTGACTTTAATACAACCAGCCTGCCTACAGATGGATCGAAATTCGTTAATTTCCTGTTGAACTAGCTGCATTTCAATTCCTCACATCCATCAGAGCCTTTGTTTACCTTAGCAGGGACTATAACCGCTTTAGCGCTGCCCCATAGCAGAAATACAGCTACAGGGCGGCAGCTGTGCGCTATAAATCACATACATATACGTGATTTCGCATTTCTTGGTAGGGGTGCACGCGAGCCCTACCCAAGCCGCCATTTGCGGCCGTAGCTGTCAATCACCGGGTCCTGGCCGTTGATTACTGGCTGGCACCCGGTGATTGCCGAGCATCTCCAATGGGGAGGGGAGAACTGTTTGTAAACAAAACAGTTCTTTCCCATCAGTTACTGCACACTGCTTTACATAGCTGTACATAGCAGAGCCATGCAAAGCAGTGTGCTTACAGTGAAACACTAACACAGCACACTTAGCACACAGTTAACCCTTTGATTGTCCCACATGTTAACCCCTTCCTGCCCAGTGCCATTAGTACAGTGTCAGTGCTTTTTATCAGCACTGATCACTGTATTGGTGTCACTGGGGATGTCAGTGACACCAAGTCAGATCCCCCCAGTGTCAGAATGTACTCCACAGTCCCACTATAGGTCGCTGATCGCTGCCATTACTAGTTAAAATAAAAAGCCCAGTAAATATACCGCCATTTGTAAAGGCTATAAACTTTCACGTAAACCATGATGGGACTTTACTGGTACAATCAGTGGATAAACTTGTGTTCATACATTTACATGTTTATTGAAATACATCATACAATGACATTGTGTAAAAACAATACTTGGCTAAAAAGCCCAAATCATAACAGCATATTGTTCTATGGCACATGAATCCTCCAAAAGTCGACGCGTTTCACTTGTTAGCTTCTTTAAGATGTGAACAAGTTTGTCCACTGATTGCACCAGTAAAGTCCCATCATGCTTTGTTTTTCTTTGAATTGTATATAAGGGATGAGGTACATATGCAGTCAATAACATAATGTTTCATGTCAACCAATTAATTTTACATGTATTGGGATTTTTTTTAGCAAAGACATGTAGCAGAATACATTTTGGCCAAAATTTGTGACGAAATTTGATTTTTTTTTACTGGACATGTTTAACCATTTCAATACCGTGCAATTTTACACCTTCCTGCCCAGGCCATTTTTCAGGTTTCAGCGCTCTCATACTTTGAATGACAATTGCGCGGTCATACAACACTGTACCCAAACTAAAATTTTATCATTTTCTTTCACACAACTAGAGCTTTCTTTTGGTGGTATTTAATCACCACTGGGGTTTTTATTTTTTGCTAAATTAACAAAAAAAGACCAAAAATTTTGAAAAAAAAAATCACATTTTTCTTTGTTTCTGTTATAAAAGTTTACAAATAAATAATTGTTCTTCATAAATTTAGGCCGAGGGATGTATTCTGCTACATGTCTTTGGTGAAAATAACCCAAATTAGGATGTATTTTTTTAGTTTGTAGGAAAAGTTATATAGAGTTCACAAACTATGGTATAGATCTGAATATTGATCAATCCTGAAGTACTCACAGCCAATCTAATTTTCTTGAGCTCCAAGAATGTCAGAACAGTACAGATATCCCCCAAATGACCCCTTTTGCAGAGTAGACAGTCCGACGTACTTCATAAGAGGCATGGCGAGTTTTTTGAAGTTGTATTTTTATGTCATAATTTTTCGGAAAATGAAAAAATTTAAAAAAAATTATTTTTCACTATTTTTTTTTTTTCTACATACTGTCACCAGTGCAGTACAGTCATCATATAACTGGCATGGTGGTTTAACAGGGGACACTGACTGGTGACAGTATGAAAAATATATATATATATATATTTTTTTTTTTTTATTATATTTAATTTTTTATTACATTTTTTAAAAAAAAAAATTTAAGATTTTTTTTTCATATTTTACTATGACCAAAGTAGTACAATGTTACCATAGTAACACTGTACTGTAATACTTTGGGGAAGTGATCAGTATTTTTTTTTTAACACAATATTGCTTATAGCAAAGAATTACTTTGCTATAAGCATGCATTTACCTGAATGAAATCGATTCATTTCAGCTTTTTTTTTTTTTTTTGTGCTTAGCTGTGATTTGGTCACAGCTAATCACATGACATGTGCATGTGATTAGCTGTGACCATTCACAGCTAGGCACTGGTATACAATGGATGGCATCATGAATGAAGCCATCCATTGTATACAACTGTCATGTGACCTGCTGTGATTGGTCACGGCCCGTGACAGATCCACAGCTGCGCCGCCCGCCCAGCTCTTCCCCTTCCGACCACCCTCCCCCTACCCGCCGCTCCTGCATTACCGCAAACGGCGCATGTGCGGGAGCAGCACGCCAAAACTGGCGTGCACACCGAATTGAAGAAGCACATCTGAAAGTGACCGCCAAACGGCCGATTGGCCGGGCGGCTTAATGGTTAATTAGCAAAAAGTAAAACATTTTTTTTTTTTTCGCACAGACGATCAAATTATGACCTGAAAGAAAAGCTCTATTTTCATGGGGGAAAAAAGGATG